AAAAATTAGCTAATTATCATGCAAATTAGTTAATTAACAAGCATGGATTTTTAGCAAAACCTGTGCATTGGCCCAGAGCATCTATGCACCAAGTTTCATCAAAAACTGATGTATGGTTCTTGAGATATCAGTGGAACAGACGGACACACATACACACACACACACACACCCACACACACATACAGACACACTAACCGCAAAGACTCCCATTTTGTGCTTCGCACATGGGAGTCAAAAATACTAAAAATGCATGAACCTTATTCAGCATTAATGTGAATACATAACTTAGATAGACAAAATATTACTGTATATTCAAATGAAAATAAATTATTTGTGCCTTGGATGTTTTCATTCTTCATCTTGATTTATTACTGTACTGTATGAATATTGAAGATAACTAGAGTACAAGTACATCAATATTACATAATGCCTTCTGAAACACTGTTGCAGCAAAACAGCAGTGATGCACGAAGGGCTCATGAATGTGTAATAAAGTATTTGCATAATTTTTGGCAGATCGACTTCTCATGAACAAATTACCATCTACACTCATCAAGGCATCAAGGCACACTAAAAATCAAAAAACCAAAAAGTCAAAAATTCGACGGTTTTTGAGAAGAAGTCGTGCACAGACAAGCGACAGACGCAGGACAGAAACCCATCCCATAGGTTCAGCGGACCTATTGTCCGTTGAGCCCAAAAATCTGAAAAAATATTTTGGTCCACTGTTGCCATAGCAACAGCCAAACAAGCAGCCTCTCGGCTGAGATAGCTCCGCTGTTAGCAATGCACATTTCAATTAAAGAACTGAAGATATCATTAGAAAATGAACAATATGTATAGCATGTATGCAATCGGACTTGCTGTTTTCAACAAGAATTCAAAAATATCACTTTTTACCAAAAATGACATAAATAATCATCAAAATTAGATAATTGAAGATATCATCACTAAATGAACAAATCTGAGAGAGGTCCACAGTAGTACCTATATATGTAGTATCAAAGCAATTGGACTTGCAGTTTTTAACAAGAAGTCGAAAATATCACTTTTTGCCAAAAATTACAAAAATATTCACCAAAATTAGAGAATTAAATATATCATCACAAAATGAACAAATCTGAGAAAGGTCCACATGTAGTACTTATATCTGTAATATTAAAGCAATTGGACTTTTGGTTTTTAACAAGAAGTCGAAAATGTCACTTTTTACTAAAAATGACAAAAATATTCACCAAAATTAGAGAATTAAATATATCATTACG